CCTGAGGAACCAGGTTTGTGATCCCCAGTGGAGGCAGTGCCTGAGGAACCAGGATTTTGGTGACCCGTAGAACCGGATCCTGAGGATGAGGAACTTCCACTTCCTCCCCCACCTGCGCCTCCTCCTCCACCCTGTTCAGTACCTGCTGTGGGCGGTTCGACGCCGGGGCCGTTGCCGCCGACACCCGCCTGATCTGGGTTCGGGTTCGGTTTTGGTTTGGGTGGATTGAGAGGAGGGGGGTCATCGTTGCCGCCATCTACCACTTGGTCACCGGGGCTGTGTGCAGTTCCTGCAGCTCTGGGATCCTTTGATTTCTCCTTATTGTCCGTAGTCGAATCTGCTCCTGTTCCTGTTGGTAGTGTCGTTGCTGCGGGTGATGTTTTTGTTGTCTCTGATGCGGCTGGTTTTGCCTCTGGTTGTAGTTCAGATGAAGCTGGCACGTGTTCCTGCCCAGGGTGCACCCCTGATCCTTCCGGTTGCGTACTTGGTGTAACCTGAGTAACATCGTGATCTGTAAGTTAGAACAGGAGGAAAAGAATATGAAAGAATGTGCACTTTCAGATATTTGGTTGGCCACACGGTCCGTCGTTTCACGGTTAACAGCCGGTCGGGTGACTAGACAGGGAAGGGGGCAGGGTGCCACCCCGGGAAAAGACTCTGTCTCTGCCACACACAACACACACAACACACACAACACACACAACACACAGACACAGTGTGTGTGTCTGTCTGTCTGTCGACGTCTAGCTGTCTACATCCCGTGGCTGTCGCCTCGTCGGTCGGCCGCCATTAGTCTCATTCGACGTTTGGGTTCTCGCTCTCCGTGTTGTCTCTCCCTCTCTTGCCGGAAATGTTGTTTTTTTTGTTTTTTGTTTTTTTTTTTTGTTTGTTCCGTTGGTTTTTGGTTTTTTGTTCTGTCTTTTATTCATGTGTCTTTGTTCGTGTATGCAAAGCCCCAGTTATGCTCTTATTTCTCTGAACGTATTTGTGTTTTTCATAGCACCTATACCTGTGGGTATTGTCCAAGTGGGAGTTGAGGTCCCTGTACTTATGCTAATCCAGCTGGTATCTCCTGGACGAATCACGTTTACCAGGTGCTCACCCTCGAATCGGCCCGTAGTACTAATACGTGCAAGTCGTGCTTTCTCCTGTTCGTCAAGCTCCCTCAGTATCTGGTCCACATCATGCTCACCTTGTGAAGTCCCCGATGGAGCGGGCGCTGCAGGACGTGGCGGTTCTGGCGGTTCTGGCGGTTCTGGCGGTGCTGGTGATCTGGGTGCTTGATCCTCTGTTCCACTAGGACGGCCAGGTGGTTCCGCAGGTTCCTCTGATCTTGCTACTCCTTTTCCCTGACTTGGACTTCCCCCTGCTGCGGTAGGTCCCTGTGCACTGCCCGTGTCCGCTGCCGTCGTCTTGTCACTGTTTCCCTCGTTTTTGTTGGTCTTCTTCGCTGCAAATAAAGCAAGGACGTAAAACGACAACATGATACAAAAAACCGGACACCAGTGGTACAGAAAGAAGGGGGCGCGACGATGGGGTCAGGTAGCGGCAGGGTACGGTCGGCTGCATGGGTCGATGCAGTGGGTCGAGGTAGGACTCGGTGGACTGCACTGCGTTGGACTGGGTCAGGCGGCAGCACGCGTACGGTAAGGTGGACGGGGCTAGATGGACTGAGTCAGGCGGCAGCAAGCGCACGGTGACATGGTATGGTAGTAGTACAACTTGTATTTGTCGCCGTCATCGCGTCCGTTGCCGGCGTCGCCGCCGCTCAACGTCAACGAAGTCGTGTGCCGTGCTGTTCCGCCGCGTGTGCGTTGTTGTTGGCGGCGGCATCCATACGGTCCCTAGAGGGCCGTAGTCGGTATCGGCCGTATGTTCGTATTCATACGGGTCGTATATACGTATTCTTACGAGTCGTATTCGAACCTGCCAGTTGTGTTATTTTCTTTTCTACTGCGTCCTTCGCCTTATCAAACACCTTCGTTGCTTTCTGTACTATTTCGTTCTTTATATCCTTCATTTTTTCCTTCCCTTTTTCGTTCAAAAGTTTGTCCATAGGGTTCCCTTTTTCTACATGCTCCTTATTAATATACTTTTCCCAATACTCCGAACAGGGCATTTCCGCCTCTAGTTGCTGTATTTCTGACAATATGTTTCCTTCTGCCATCAACCATTGTGCTATTTCCAAATTTACTGCTTGCGCATTGTGCTTATAGCCCGTATACCCACACATGGTGCACTTTCCCTCCACAACGGGTCCTTTAATTCCGTCTACCCCATTTGTTTGTTGCCCCATATTTTGCAGTGCTGTATATGCATACTCTACACCTCTACTCCATCCTTGCTGATCCGTACAATACATTTTTTTCAGTAAGTGCCCAAATACATGTGCTACCTCGCACCGTAGCCACGTGTCCGTGTCATCCATATGCACCGTGGTCCCTTGTGCGTTAGCGCCATTTGCAAACCACAAGGCTCCCGACATTATCCTGCACCTCATCATATCTGCCACTCTCTGGCCTTTGTGGTATTGACCAGGCCTCATATCTTCCCAACCTATATTATCACAGTTGGCACCGTACGCGTCAAAGAGCTCATTTGTGCCCTGCAAATGTTGAATAAATTCCTTCAACACCTTCTGTACCTTGTTCCAGTCTTCAGCCTACATGTTGTACACGAACATGCAGAAAAGAACTCATTTCCCCATTTCACGAACGCGCGTCGCGCCTGAGTCCATTTACACCCTCACATGTATGTATATACCCTATGAATCATGCATTACTGCCCCTCAGTTCCCTCTGCTGTTCTTTTTTCTGCACTTCTCGTATTCTAACTTACACTATAACCCTGCAGCACATATATTTCCCTCTCTGTCCACTCCCAGACTTTGTCCCCCGGACAATCGTCTGCTTGGGTGTCCTTTGCTTTAACACCATCAGTAGCTCCCGTTATCTGCGTGTTCCCGTCGTTCGTTGCCACCGCTGTTGCCGGTGTCGCCGCTACTGGTTTGGCCGGTGCTGCTCCGGTGTTGACCGGGTTGGCTGGTGCTGGTGTGGCAGGTGCGGCCGCTTTAGCTGCTGATGGTTTCGTGGACGATCCCGGTCCTGGTTTACCTAAGAAAAGGGAAGGGGTGGATATTTGTTAAAAGAAAGCGAAATTGATGAACACAAAAGAAGAAAGGGGTGTTGACGTCGGCGGGGCGGCCTCTTCGGAGGCGTCGGGTTAGGTGGACGGTAGCACTACACTTTTATTTGTTGTGGGGGTTCTTCACCGCCGCCGCGCCATCCATCGGCTGTTGCCCCTGGGCCCACTGTTCCATTCCACTTTTTCGTTCCGCCGCCATTCTCATGAATATGCTGCCTTGCGGCCTGCTGATGATGATTATTCATTCTACGCAGCATGCTCTTACCATTCAACTGTACGTTACGTGGACTGCCCGCACATTGAGTACCATGTATGCCTGTCGCAGCAGCCTGTGCCCTCATGTCCTGTGTCCTATGTGTCCAGGCCTGTCCTGAACAGGACGTGCCGAATGCGGCGTCCTTCACGCTTTGCGTAACAATACTATCGCTCAACATCCATTTGGTAATTCTCCCTTCAAGCGGAAATAATCCGACGCAAGTACGCCCAAAATCCCAATTCACACACTTGCTACTTCTGCTTGGTCGTCCTGGTAGCATTGCATGTACATGCGGTTCCACGGCCTTCAGAGCATGTTCTCGAATATCGTCGCCCCAGCATGACAGCTCCATTATTTTCTTTATATATACACTGCCTATTATACACTTCATCCCTTCCTCTATCTGTTGCATATTGGTGTTATCCCGTCCTTGAGCGACTGTGGAACCCTGACCGTTTAACCCTTCCATGTAAAACATTATTCGTGCAAGTAGTGCACACCTAGCTATGTCGTCTGGAGTCACGTCTTCGCTGTCTGTTCCATGCGTACTGCACAATGTTTCTGCTATGCCGTCGTCCTTATCGTTGTCCTGTTTCATATTCTGCGCAATCTCATCTTTCAATTCTTGCATTTTAGCCCACATCGCTGTCTGTGTTGTGCAACATGAAGAGCATGAACATACATTTATATATATATGGCTCATACGTGCTCGGTTCTTTGTCGTCCATTCAACATTATACCACATATACATTTTTCTATATACATAGTTCCCCACACCAGTGTGCACCGTTTGTACCCCTATATTCCCCCGCCTATATCTACACTTACATCAAGCTGCGTCGTGTTCCTGTCTTGCGCTAGTCCATGTTTCATTGCCCATTTTACCCTTAGCTTTGAAATAAAATTCTTACCTTCATGACTGTCCCATAATTCATCCTACATGACGAATAAAAGGAAAACAAAAAAAGAAATACAACCATTATGCCATATGTCTATGTACACCATATCGGGACCTCCTGCGTGGCCACACTGTTCTCACTCCGGTGTAAACAAAATTTATCTATGCCGTCACTCATCCTGCTGGTTCCCCATACTGGTCGTGTGTTATAATTGAACTTACATCATGCGCCATCGGCTTGTCGGTACTGTTTCTTTCTTGGTGTAGTGGTGATTTTGCGTATGGTCGACGCGTTGCTCGGACAGACAATCTCTCCCTCCTTTCTTACACTCGGCTACTGCGGCGAATGCTGCTTACCAGGCCACGTTGCTCGGCGAGACAATCGCGCCTCCTTCTTACACTCGGCTACAATGCGGTGTACGCAGTCGCGTTTGCGCGGAGAGACAAGCTCTCCTTATACTCGAATGCGTATGCGCATTCTATATTAGTTCTACATCATGCCCGTAGAATGCACGTGCGCATCTTTTAATAAATAATTTCCCATAAAGGAGAATTGTAGCCCTTCATGTTATTCATTTAAATCTGCATTGTATGTGCATTTAACCGGTACGCACCGGTTCCTATGGTCATGTTAAAAGAAGTGGACTACACAGAAAAAGAACAAAACAAGGCGAAAGTAAGCACAAGTAAGCAGAACAGAGCAGAAAAAAAAACAAGAAGGTATAGAATAAGGTAAACAAGAAATATATTATGTATATCACATAATGAACTAAAAGTGGTGTACGGTTAGCATGCGTTATGTCGCATGCATATGCCCCGTCGTCCTAATTTCAGAGCTTGTCCAGTAGTTTATCTACATATAACTCCTTCTCTTGCAAGCGACATTCGATCTCGCACTGTTCGATTACGAACGCGAGAAGGAGCATGCACAATTTGAGGCCGGTTAACGGTTTTTTTATATGAGGTTGCGGATGCAGTGCTTGCGTCCGTGGTACATCTCTCACTCTTAGTATATCTGCTGTTCCCATTACTTTTTCCACTTCTAAGTGTGTTTCTACTCGAGGTACTTCGCCTTTTTGCGATGCTGTCTCCTCCGCGATATTTTCTAACAAATGCTTAAACCACGCCTCCTGGCCATACATACGCATGTGCCGATGTTGCTGTGCGACCCACTTTTTCCAGGCATCTTTCTTCATCTCTACGGATGGCATATGGCCACGCTCACCGAGTGCACGCTGCCCGTTGTGTGCGCGTTCCGCCATGTGCTCACGCAGGTATTGTTTCCATTCCGCTTTTAATTGCAAAAACCACGGCTGCGTCGTGCACGCCCGCAGAATATGTTTGTTGCGGTCAATCCAGTTAATCCAATTAGTGTGGTCAGGGGCCGAATTCGCATTCGCACGAACTGGACAGAGGACGGAGTCATGTGGTGGACAAGGTTCCGTTGCTAACTGTGTAGTTTCCATGCACTTCCATGGATCGGGGTGCTCTGCGTTAGGTCGGAATACATGCGTTCCGTCGGAATACGTGGGTGTATCCGGCGTGGGTGAAGCGGCGTGTTTTGTTGAGTGCTGGGTGGCTAAACCGTCGTCTGGGGTACAGACATGCGAGCTACTTGTACACGTGTTGTTGCCCCCCATAAACTCTTCAACGAGTA